CTCTGCTCAGCCACAAGCCAGGCTGATGGCTGCCAGTACAGCGGTGGTGGTGGGAGCCTCTCCTGCCTCCTCAGCAGCGCTAAGGATGTCCGACTGCAGTTTAGGCCTGCTCCCCGCTGGCAAGTGGACATCCCCCGAGGGCTGCCGGGCTGCCAGAGGGATGTCTGATTGCCATCTTAGGCCCAATCCCCCGGGGAGCGGGCCTAAGCCAGCAGGTGGTCATCCCCTGAGGGGTCCCAGACTGCGAGAGGGCACAGGCCGGGCTGAGGGACCCCCCTTTACTCCCGAGTGCACAAATTTTTGTGCACCAGGCCTCTAGGCCTATATAATAAAAGGCTAATATGCAAATTGACTGAACAGCAGAACAACCACTTGCTATGACACACACTGACCACCAGGGAGCAGACGCTCAACACAGGAGCTCTCAAGGCTGGTGAGTGCAGCAGCAGTGGTGGGAGCCTCTCCCGCCTCTGCGGCAGCATGGAGGATGTCCGACTGACACTTAGGCATGCTCCCCATGCCATTAGTCGGACATCCCCTAAGGGCTCCCAGACTATGAGAGGGTGCAGGTGAGAGGGTGCAGGCTGGGCCGAGAGACCCCCCTGAGTGCATGAATTTCATGCACCAGGCCTCTAGTTTACTATAAGAGAAATTTAAGCTAACAATTTTGGTTTTAAGGTAAATTAATTTATTTTCAAATACAAAAATGAATTACTTGCATATTAATATAAATAACATCTAAGTAAGTAGCTATATTTTTTTAAATAAAAATATAACATTTTCTTACAATTTTATAAATCTGTTTAAAGTCTGGATTACTAGAAGATAGCTTAATTCTCACATCTACTTCCTCATCGTATCTACTGTGGTGTTTTAGTTGACATTATGTGAAGAAAATACAGCTTCACACAGCCATGCAATTGAAAAGGGATATTATTTCATACTACCCAACATATGACAAGTGGTCATTACTTGAAGGTTAGCTTTAATGTGGTATCAGAAAACACCATGATGAACTTCTTATGTTCTATTACATTAACATTCATTGGTTTATCTTGAACTTTGAATGGATCATTTACCCATGCATCATTTTATCATATTATTTGGAAAATATTTTTCTGAGTTATTTATATCTGTCAGATGATGACACATCACATTATACAATACCCCAAAATTCACATTAGTCATGTTACCACTCCTCTCATCAGAAAAGCCTTTAAATATTGGGAAGATATCAAGTCTATTGTAGTGAATACAAGTCTTACAGTTTTAATTTTACCTCAAAGCTTGATTTTTAATATTTGCAACAAACACCGTAACATATTTCTTTGTAGTGACAGACTCATTGTGCCAATTATCTAGAAAATGTCTGTCACACACCTAGGTTTGAATAACTATAGTTTGTCTGTTCCTCATTCTTTCAAGTGAAAAATACCATTCCTTAAAAGAAGCTGGAATTCAAATAATCACACAAATACAGGGTTTCCTTCAGGTAAATGAAACCATAAATGCATACCATACTTCAGGGTGCATAAAAAGTGTATTATGTGCATTTGACTACACAAAATGTTTAAAAGATGTCTACTGAAGTATCAGAATATAATAAAATTAATTTTTTACTCTTTCTTCAAAGATGTTAAGAGAAATTGTCTTTTAGTAAAAATTTTTTTACTACTATTAAGTGGCAGTAAAAATTACAATTGCTATTAGTTCAGTTTGGTGCCACTGTTTTTTGTTTTGGTTTTGAATCCTCACCTGAGGACAAGCTTAGAGAGAGAGAGATTGGCCGCCCTCTGCACGTGCCCTGAGCGGGTATTGAACCCGCAACCCATGTATGGGCCCTGACCAGGAATCTAACCTGAGACCTTTGGTGCATAGGATGATTCTCCAACTAATTGAGCCATACCAGCAGAGCAGTGCCACTGTTTTGATTAGTCTAAGGTACTAGCAATTCAGCCACCATTGCTTCTGCACCATCAGTGCAGAAGTCAACACAGTTTCAAAAGGCAAATATCTAGTATTACTATGAAGACAGTTTTGATCTGTTAGACTCCTTGAACATGAATTGGGGATGCCCAGGAAACCACATGTCTAGAATTATTCCTCTTTCTAGCCTCTTTTTCACCTGACCCAATCAACTGACAGACACCTATTGATCCTTTAAATTTCCTCAACTCAGCTCAATGGACTCCTCTCGCTTCCTCAGGCAGATTTTTAAATATTCTCTAGGCCTTTGGAATCTTGTGAATTCTATTAAATTTCAATGTTATTCATTTGTAGCTTTCCTCTTAAACTGTGGCCTCTGAAGTTTATGAACTTATATTTATTTTTACTTCCAAGGTGCCTGACAAAATAAAAATTGGAGGACAACAAATGAATAAGTTCATTAATATATTATGGATATAATATGAACACTTCCAACTCTGAATTGCATACGTCTAGGAAAATGGAAGACCAAAGCATATTGTAATGTAAACTTCATATAGATATTCCCAAAGTGAAAACATAGTCTGAACTCTGTAACCAGTACTGTTATAGTTGTATTTTCACACACACACACGCGCGCGCGCACACACACACACACACACACACAGTCAAAATGGTATGTGCTAAAATATATAAATTGGTGTGAAATTATCAATAACCTAGAGAATAAAAGAACAAGAATGTATATTTGTATAGTAAATATGTTTATAAAGTATATACTTGAACTCATTTGGAAAGGCTCTATAGGATCTGAACAAACAAAATGGATTGTGAAGGATATTATATGTTGAAAGAACAAATTGAGCAGTGGCAGATATAGCATGGGGTGTACAGTACAAAGTCTGATCTGAAATATCTATTTTTATGTGAGTAAAAATAGAATTAGATGCTGGAGCTCATATGTTAGCAGGTAAATGTATATTAATATATGTTGACATTTTTATTTGTTAGTCATAAGATAAAAATTACAAAATCACATATGTAATACCTTAATCAATAAAGAAAGTAAAAAAAAAAGAAAATCATTGTTGGCAAAAGTAAGGAAAAATAGGTTTTTATAGATAATTGATGAAAACATAAAATGATATGGTCTTTTTTTGAGAGAAATTCAATCAGCTATAAAATAATAAAATAAACACTGACTTTGCAATTCTATTATTCCTATGATTTTATGCTAAAAATATCATATATGTGAATACACATACTTATATATGCAAATGTTTACTGTGCCATTGTAAATAATGATGAGATACCAGACATAGCCTAAATGTTTATCAATAAGAAAATGGTTAAGTAAATTACTTTATCCTTAGTATAGAATTAGGAACAGGCTTTCAAAAGAATAAGATGCAGCCTTATGTACTGAAATGAAAGCTTTTCAAGATATATTATAGGTGGGAAAAAAGCAACCGAATAATGCATATAGGATCATTCTATTTTTTTTATAACTACCAACAATACTCACACACATGCATAATAAATTCTAGAGGCATAACAATCTTCAATTATGAGTAAATAAATTGAATCAATGTTGTATGCAGAGGCAGAATGATCATTTTTAAGCCCATATAACTTGAAGCCTTTATAATAAATATATATAGTATTTACAATTTAAAATGTAACAAAAGTGATTGATCTCAGTATAGTGAAAATGGAAAAGTGGGGAATATATAGAAATCACATAAAGATAGAAAAAAGAGAGATGCCGTATGAGGAATATGAAGATAGTCCTTATAAAAGCTGGATGATAGGAAAAAGGTTTCTCTAAATTATAAATGGATAATCTACACAATATTATGCTTGAATAAATATTTAAAGTATTTTAAAATAATAAAGTCTTTTAATAACATTTTCTTATCAAGACTGTACATGTATGTATATATACTATATATATTAAAAGATTTATTTGAGGAAACAAATTCACTGAAATAATTAAGAATATCTTCTTTAAAAAAGAAGATATTCTTAAAGATATACTTTTATCCAGTGAAATAAAATTAGTAAGTTTTATACTGAAAATCATTTTCCATGAATTTTAATCGTATTTATAAGAAACATGAGGGAATATATTGAAAGTTCCATGATTAGAGGCAAATAATCATAATGTATATGCTGTCAAGCATGTCAAACTCAAAGGCTAATACAGGCCAAATAAATGAGGCATGCAGCCTGCAGGCTTCAAGTTTAACATGCTTATTGTACATGCTAGCAGTTAATTATTTCTTTGACATTTGGGGGGTTGGATAATTTAGTTGCATTAATTCTTGAATATAAACTTTAGGAAAATGTTATTCCTCCATGGAATTACCACTCTAATTTCTCTACTAATCCAAAGGATACTCGTTTCCATCAAAGTATTTTAAAATAAATTCTTGTACTTACTTTCAACAATTACTTGTCTGTCTTCCCAGTTATCTTTAATAAGCTGTATATTTCCAAAGTGTGCATCACTGTAAAAAATTCGGTTGGTACCTCTTCTTTGTTGATTATAGTCAAAAGCCAAGGCTATGACATTCTTGAAATAATGTGGGTTCTCATATGGCCTTATTGGTGAGTTTAAATTGGCTTCATCAGAAAGATGTATGCTTTTTAATATCGTTCTCCCTGAATACAGCAAATAGCCTTCATGCCTTCGGCAAGTAACTCCATCCTCTGCCAAAGAACCATGGGCACAAGCACAAGTTCTCCAGGAATTTCCTCTATAAAGACAAAGTTGCTGGCATCCACCATTGTCCTTGGCACAAACATTGGTCCCTAAGGATTGAAAAGGGATAACACAGACACACGCATATTTATATCTTTCTTTTGTTTTCCAAATATATTTTTCTAATATAAATATTAAAAAATTAATATTGAATATTTTGTTTTTTATTCTTAATTTTAAAATGGCCATCAAAATCCAAATACTATAAAGTACTGAGTTTTTAAATCACACAATCTTAAAAACTCTGATTTCTTATTTCAAAGATCACATTCTTCTACTTCCCTCACCATCCAAATAAAAGCACTTAGAATTTCCCTTAATCTGCTAGTTAAGTGTATAACTCTTTTTTGAAACTTAATACTGAAAATATAATAAGTTATATGTACTGTAATATTTGGCATAAGTAGCAGATTCACTAAAAATATGAAGTGAATTTACAAAAAAATCATGCACTACTTAATTCTCTATATCTACAAAGCACGTAAAGTATCAAAGGAATTTATGGCTCCAATGTACCTAACATCTTAAGAATATTGTGAATAAGTTTTTTACTCCAGTTTTAGGTGAAGATGTAATATGTTATTAAGATTTCTCCATCAGATTAATTCTCTGTGAATCCATCATCATCTTCAAAAGTATTATATCTTTCTTTGAATATCAAGAAAATTAAATGCATTTTAATGAACATAAGCCAAATATTATTTTAATGGAGGTAATTTAAAAAAAAAAATCCAAATCACTGTCATATCAGTTTCAAAATACACATTTTAAAGAAGTGATGACTTTGGAAATATTTCACACTAACAGCAAACTTCTGGAGCCATAATTACTTTATATATTAAAATATAATAAAAACAAACATTTTACTCTCTAATATCCCAATTTGCTTTGTATTTTTTTCATTGACTATGTGTATCAAGTTTTTCTGTATTACTTAGCCCAAACTATACTGAAATCATACCAGGAATATAATCTGCCCCTATACACAAACTGTCCTAAGCAAATATATCTATATATGAACTACTATACATTTATTTTATTAAGCTACTATATAACTTTTGTAAGAAATTAGACACCCCACCTCCCCCCTCAAAAAAAAAAGGGCTGTGAGGTTTTGGACTCAAATATGAATTAATCCCTAACCTAAGTTTGATAAATGTTAAAAAGAAATGAGAGAAAGAAATAGCATAAAGTATATTTATTATATGAGAAGGCTAACCTTTCTCTCTTACTCGGTTAAAGATTTTAACCTCCTTCAGGTTGACTCCAAGCCCCGTTCTCATGGTTATGGTTTCTGTAGCATCATTTTTGTGGCCCCTCCTGATGGACCCGTTGGCATGTGCTCTGATGAGAAGATGAACATACATGATCAACGCTCTTTGATTCAAACCAAGTCAGTTACTTAAGCTCAAGATAACAGATACCCCAGCAAAAGGGAAAGAAATCAACTCTTCTTCTGTGACATTGAAACGGCTGAGCCTAGAAGAGGAAGAGTGGCCGGCCTTTCCTGCAGAAATTACAAGGTTTTGTGAGATCCTTTTCCCGACCTTGCTAGGGGATGGCTAATCCTACAAGGGTAAAGCAACTAACGGGCACTGAAATAACATTCTGAGTCTCAAAGGCTCATGAAAAAATAAATTACCTGTCAGACCAGTAGATGTAAGCCCCAAAGACGGCAACTGAAAACATATCCACATTGCTCCCTGCCAGCACCATCTCACGATTCCCTCCAGTCTCAAGGTCGATTCTTTCTATTTTGTCTGTGCGGGCATCACACCAGTACAATTTATTTTCCTAAAGATCAATTGAAAAGTAACATTACAAGCTGTATTTGATTGTTTTATTGAGGAAGTAAGACTGTCAGCTCAATGAGTACAGTGATCTTTACTCTTGTTTACTCACTGTTATATCTATGGGAGTAGATAATTAGAATCTTTTTAAAAATGAAAATTAGTGGTATTAAATATTTAATTTATGATGTATATGTGAATACATCATAACTTTCAATTCTGTCCACTGTTAAATATAATAATTCTAATTCAAATTTTAAAAATTATCTTGTGAAACATCTTAAAATATTGATTTATACAAAAGCAGACATTCTTATTTTAGCAATTTTGTAATGTGAAATGTAATGTGGAAGAAAATAAAACATAGAAAGAAAATCTAGAGCATGCTGTAATAAAACATTGAAAAGTAGACTATAGGAAACTCAAGGTGTATAGTCAATGCTTTCTTTTACTCATTCATTCAACAAATATAATATTTGTAATACAATACAGAAATTCATGCTTTCATATAAATAAGATCCATCTTTTCTAAATTATGTCAACTGAAGTTTTTATTCAACTGTTGGATAAAAGCATTGATTAAAGTTGAGAAAAATGTGGCAATTATTAATTCAGATAAAGTGGGGTGTATTCTGTTTGATTGTTTTATTGAGAAAATAAGAGACTGCTAAAAGAGGATTAATCAAGGTGGCAGTTAATGCACTCTAAATATTTAAGAAAGAAAATCCCACAGACCTCATAGTCAATGGAGATGCCATTAGGCCATGCGATTCCCATGCTTACGAGGACAACCTTCTCCGAGCCATCTAAGCGAGCCTTCCCAATGCACGGCATCTGTCCCCATTCAGTCCAGAACAAGTAGCTGAAATTAAGTTGTTGATTTATAGTAGTATGCAGATAAGCACAAAAAAGATATATTGTTAATAACAGCAGTAACATTCATACTAACAAATAAAAATAATGCATCCTAGAAATCAATATACATGTGTGTTTGGTTGCAATAAAATGTTTTTACTATAAAAAATATTTAAGCATTCATAGAATGTGTGGATGAATTCAAATCCTAACAAATGCCTTCAGCACATGCCACTCCCTATCTGAAATTCTCTTTTGCACCCAGCTTGCCTTGTGTGTTTTTTTTATATCTCAAACATCATTTCCTTCAAGAAACCTTCCATGTTCTCTCTGATTATTGCACCATGTAATCTGCTTCATGTCATAGATGAATGAGACTGGCAAATTAAAACTTGTATTTCTGTAGTGCTATTTTTTATTAATATTTTTGTCCTCCCAAACTGTCAGCTCAATGACTACAGTGATCTTTTCTCTTGTTTACTCACTGCTATACCTATAGCAGTAGATAACTAGAATATTTTTAAAAATGAAAATTAGTGGTATTAAATATTTAATTTATGATTATATGTGATTATATCATGACTTTCAATTTTGTCCACTGCTAAATATAATTATCCTAGTTCAAATTTTAAAAAGTATCTTGTTAAGCATCTTAAAATATTGATTTAAACAAAAGCAGACATTCCTATTTTAGCAATTTTGTAATATAAAATGTAATGTGGAAGGAATGTGCAAGAAAATAAAATACAGAAAGAAAATCTAAAGCATGCTGTAATAAAACAGCATTGAAAAGTAAATTGTAGGAAAACAAAAGGCACATAATCGATGCTTTCTTTTACTCATTCATTCAACAAATAAAATGTTTGTAATACAATACAGAAATTCATGCTTTCATATAAATAAGATCCATCCTTTGTAATTATGTCAAATGAAGTTTTTATTCAACTGTTAGATAAAAGCATTGATTAAAGTTGAGAAAACTATGGCAATTATTAATTCAGATAAAGTGGGATGTATTCTGTGCATATTTGAATACATATATATGATAGATCATATACAACAGAAGAAAATGAGATTGCATATAGAAAAATCAAAGGTCTAATTCATATTTTATATCCACTATATGCAGTAATTATTAATGCATGAAAAAAGACACAAACTATATGAAAATATATGTATTCCCTTTATGCATATTGTTTTAATTTATTTTAAAAGTTGATTTTTTTCCTGAAAATTCTGTATAAAATAAATGTTTGGACTTTCATAACCAGACAAAAAAGAGGTGTGGCTAAAATCCCAAGTATATTATTTTGAAGACAGTTTAATTCATATTTATAAAGTCTACAAATCAGAAAGGAAAACCTTTATAGCAGAAGTACAACTAATATTTTATTGGTTAGTTCTGGCATGAAGCAAGCACAAAAATATCTATACTTGTATTAAAGGTAAGATTTTAAAACTTTAAGAGGGACTTATTACATTAAAATTATTTAAAATAACTATTTAACTGGGAAGTAAAATGTACTGCTCCACTTAACATTCTGAGGACAAATTTTAGCATAACAATGCTCTTAAAATGAACAGTCAGTCATTCTTTTAAAATGACAACGGATGTTAAACTGGGAAGGAGGCATTTTGGAGGCCAAGATAGACATATAATTATTTATTCAATCTAATTCTTTCCATCTACTATCACATACTATTAAGTTCAAAAATGGCTAGGAATATGTATTACATACTTTTTATTTAATAATAGTCTGCTTTCAAATGAACTAAATGAGTAAATAATAAAATATTATTTTGAGTAGGTTGATTAATCTAATTAACATATTTAACCCTAATTCTCGGAGCTATAAAAGTTGCAGCTCAGGATGTGAATGCCCCACAGTCACGGTGCTGATAATGGTCCACGCCAGGAACCACACTCGGCTTTGCTAACTCAGGACTGTACGTCCTCTCTATGATACCTTCTGTCACCAAATGTAAATATAATACGACAGTATAATAATCGTTTATCAAATTCTATTCTTCATTAGGAATTAAATGTATAACAAAGATCTTCATACTTAAAACAAAACATGTAAAAGCTATTAGTATTGAGAAAAAAGTTTCTCTCTTTCCTCCCCAACTAGTCCCTATTCATTTAAAATTCATTATATCCATGAGGAAGGCTTAGGTGAATGGCAATAAAATTAGGGATAAAATTTATTCAAAATAAAATTATCTTGAATACAGATTTTACTCAAATTTTGAGTGGTGATTTGATAAACTATCATAATATATGAAGCAAATCTGACAGCAAGAATCATTTTTATGGCCAAATAATTAATCAACTTAATAAAATTAAAGGATTGTACACCTATCAAAATTAAGCAACATTTTATAAATGTTAGGCAAAAAATAATTTGTTTGCTCCATAAACTGAACTTGAAAGTGAAGAGTTGAATAGAATTAAGACTTTGAGAACCTTTAGGGGTTATAAACCAAATTTAGAGAACACTCTCTAGTCTAGGCATATAAAACTGCAGGGAGAAACTTATTTAAGATAGTAATTTACATAGATGTACTTGAGATATTTTTAATGAACAGAGTATTTGTATCGAAGTGTGATCTTTGGCAATGGAAAGAAATGAAATTCCTTGTCTCTGGTTTTTGAGACTCATGGAAAGATTCATTGATGATATTACATAATGATATTTTCCCCATTCTAGTTCAAATTTTGCTGTTAATAAAGTTTGTTGGATTGTATACTATGGCCTTTAGAGTGTTAGCTTGATAAATCTAGCCCTGAAAATACTTCCTGAAGTTTTATTAGACCCAGAAATTCTCAAAATCATCCAAATCAAATACTATGTGACAATATTGAAGTTTCTCTCAATAATAATTTCTCCTAAACAGAAAATGTCCTTATTTACAAAGGCTTAAAATGACAGAATTTAAAAATTCAAAATGTAACAGAATATTCAAAAGTGTTTTGAAAAATTATATAAATACTAACAGAAATCATCATAACACAAATATCCCTATTGTCTTCACTAGACCCAGAAGATATTGGCAGAAAAATGTGCAATGGATACATACCATGAGTTAATTTCTAATTAATTACTGACATTTGGATAATATTTAAAAGACTGCATTTGGTTGCAGTGGGACTGCTACCAAAAGCCTTGCATACACTTTCAGAATCCAAAGTTTATTGAAGTTATCATAGAACAATTATATGGTATCAGAATTAGTTTACACACAGGTACACTTATATAGAAAAAACAAATCATTTTTATGTCATAATTAGAATCAAACTGAAAAATATATGTTCAAGGCATTATAAGTGTCCTCGAGTAATTTCAAATAAAGTACTTTTGTGAAATAAGACTACGTGGAAACAAAGCTCCGACTTCAGTGGGGGAGGGAGGGTAAAGAAGTGTAAGGGACTGTCAAACTACAGCAGGAAGGGAGGGTGTGGGGTGGTTAAGAGATCAACCGAAGGACTTGTATGCAGGCATATAAGCATAACCAATGGACACAAGACACTGGGGGGGTAGGGGAGGCCGGGGGAATGTCAAGGGGGAAAAAAAAGGAGACATATGTAATACTCTTTGTAATACTTTAAGCAATAAAACAAAATTAAAAAAAAAAGAAGTGTAAGGGAAAAAAGAGAAGGATGAATAAGTCTAAATTCTTAAAAATGGCCGGGCCAAGTAGTTCAGTTGGTTAGAGCATCTTCTTCACATGCCAAAGTGGCAGGTGTCATCATCCCCAGTCAAGGCACATACAAGAATCAACCAATGAATGCATAAAAAGTGTAACAACAAAGTGATCTCTCTCTCAAAAAAAAATCAGTCAATAAAAACAATTTGCAGAAGTAAATTTAAAAACACCAAATAAATTGTTAAAAAAGAAATAGTATTAAATGTGGTTCTTCAGTATGGAGTTTCCTCAAAAAACTAAAAATGGAACTCCCATTTGACCCAGTGATCCCACTTCCAGGAATATATCCCAAGAAACTAGAAACACCAATTAGAAAGGATATGTGTACCTCTCTTGAGTTTTTGATTATTATCATTTGCACGCGATATCTTTATCCATTCTTTCACTTTCAGCCTCCATGTGCTCTTAAATCTAACTGTGGTACATCTACACAATGGAATACTACGCTGCAGTAAAAAAGAAGTTCTTACCATTTGCAACAGCATGGATGGACCTGGAGAGCATTATGCTAAGCGAAATAAGCCAGTCAGAGAAAGATACATATCATATGATCTCATTCATTTGTAGAATATAATGAACAACATAAACTGATGAACAAAAACAGATCCAGAGACAGAGAAGCATCGATCATACCGATCATACCGTCAAACCTCAGAGGGAAGGTAGGGAAGGGTGGGAGGAAGGGAGAGAGATCAACCAAAGGACTTGTATGCAAGCATATAAGCCTACCAATGGACACAGACACTAGGGGGGTGAGGGGCAATGGGGGGATAAGGACACATATGTAATATCTTCATCAATAAAAAAACAAATAAATTTGGTTCTTACATTTTAGATATATAAACAATAGTGAAAACCAACTGATTTGAATCAATTCTTTTCTTTGAATTTAATATTATCTTTGTTGACTGCTAAACTATTTCCCTGGAGCACAGATCTGGGTTGCAATTTTTACGACGGACTTGCCATTTCTTCTGATTCGTACTCCTTTTTGAAGGGAGCATGGCTTAGATATTTTATCAGATATGTTAAAGAAAACCTGAGATCACTTAAATTTATCATGCTGGCACAAAAATGAAGATTGTGCAATTCTCTTGCCGTGGTGAAGAAGACAATCAAGACTGTCATTGTGTCCCCTGCTAGATTGGGGGTCAACCATGTGTTAGTTAATATATATGCAAAAAGTAAGACCAAAAAACACACACAAGATTACAGATTAGCAATAGCAGCTAGACCAGTGGTCGGTCGGGCACTGGTTAAGACAATGGTCGGCAAACTCATTAGTCAACAGAGCCAAAT